CCAGCTCCGCCAGCTGGATCCGGCCAAGGCTACTGGACCCGATGGCATCCCTGCCAGAATTCTGAAGCAGTGCTCAAAGGTGTTGGCTGCACCACTTGCCAAGCTGTCCTCACTCTGTTTTCGGTGCCGTGTCCAGCCCTCTCTCTCGAAAGTAGCCCGTGTGGTCCCGATACACAAGAAGCATTCTCACTCTGCTGTTAAGAACTACCGACCTGTGTCCTTGTTATCTGTTGTCTCCAAAGTCATGGCCATAATCAAGCATCTTGAGCATGAAAAAGCCCTGTCCATCCACCAGTACGGATTCCGGCAGGGGCTCAGCACATCTGACCTTCTCACGTCTCTCAACCACTCCTGGGTCTCCGAAGTCAACCGTTGTAGCGCAGTCCGTATGCTGGCTGTAGACATAGCAAGCGCATTCGACAATGTTTCGCACGGAGGCGTGCTCGACAAGGCTGCGTCATACGGCATCACTGGTTCCCTCCTGATGTATCATGCTAGCTACTCATGTATTGCGCATGTCCTTCAAGTTAGTTGTTATCACCCGCATAACGCGTATTGTTACGTTATACGCCTTGCTTCACGTGATTACGTCATGTCTCGATTGGACGCATGCACGCATCCATATTCTGGATTCATGTGTTCTTCTCCTTGCTTTTCTTCCTCACTTGAGAATGTAAATAATTAGTTTCTATTATCTTGTCACCAAACTAGTTCCTGTTGTCTAGTAGTAGTGGTATGCATGAGAACATAACATGGCGCAGTGAAGTTTCGTACCTGTGTTTTTCTAGTTGCCCGTGGTGCATCCCGGTTGTGTTCGCACGAGGCCTGCAGGTCCAATTACATTTTATTTATTTCTCTAGTCGTGACCGTCTTCCGAAATGTCAGATGCAGCTGCACCAAGTGTGCCGAGCGCAGATATCGCTGCTCTTGCCGATCTCTTCAAAAAGCAGATGGAGGCAGCCAATGAGCGAGAGAAGCGTCTCGATGCAATTATCACTGGTCTTACTCAACAGAGTCAGCCTTGCTCGTCGCCAGCACCGCCAGCTCCAAAGCCTGTCGCGGCGGAGCGACCCATGCTGCTGTCCTCCGCGTCCCTGTCAGAGTTTGCTGCCTGGCAGGAACTGTGGGAAGACTTCTCTCGGTGCCGGCACCTGACAGCACAGTCAAAGGAAACCAGGGTATCTGCCATCCGTCAGTGCCTTGACGAAGACCTCAGACGTTTTATCAGGGAGGGCACCATTGTCATCGCGACCAATCCTGATGCGTGTGACGTCTTGGAGGGGGTCAAGCAGTTTCTTCGCCGACAAAGAAACCCGATACTTGACCGAATTGAATTTTATAAGCGCACGCAACAGAAAGGGGAATTGTTTGACGGGTTCCACACTTCCCTGAAGGAGTTGTTTAACACGTGTGATTTTGTGGAACATGAGCTCTGTTCTGCCTGTTCGGCACGTGCCTGTTCTACGTGCAAAACTAATCTTGCACGGGTCCACGCGGACATGATGCGAGACCGCATTGTGATCGGTATCCTGGACGACACCACCCGTCACAAACTGTTGTCCACCTCCGACCTGACATTGGAGGCGACAGTCAAGGTGTGTCGTGCAGAAGAGGCAGCCACACAGACCAGCTACCACATCCCTACCGCCGGCCAAGTCAATGCTGCCAGGAAGTCGTCTTATCAGCGCGCGAAGTTAGCTTCACAGCCCCCAGTTGAGGCGAAGCACACTTCTGCTCGTGATAAGTGCCGTAACTGCGGACGCACAGCGCACACGAAATCGCCGTGTCACGCGATCAACAAAGTGTGCCTTAACTGTAATGGAACGGGTCACTTCCGGGCAATGTGCCGCAGGCCTGCCAAGAAGCCGGACAAGTCGTCCAAGATCGCACACTTGCTACTCAACAGAGCATCTCTGTTGGACGACGCAACAGTTTCCGTTGCCACCCAGCTTGTGATCGAGCCAGAGCCCGTAGCTCTTAGTTGGCTCCCGGATACTGGTAGCGACGTTGATGCCATCGGCACTCAACACCTTGACCAGTTAGGCGGATTTGTCGAGAACCTGCTTGACGACATCGACGATGTTCGTACCGCAGATGGCGCCAGTCTCACCCCTGTTGGCAAGATTTCGGCGACTTTCAGTTGTGGACCAAACCAGCACACGTCCAACATTCATGTCTATGATGGTTTGACTGATGCCCTCCTATCCCGTTCATCCTTGCACGCCCTAGGATACTTGCCGTCCGGCTGGCCGAAGCAAATCGCAGCAGTCCAACAGGTAGTCCCATCGGTCGTTCCCGATGCACCTGCGGACAAGGTTGTGTCCAAAGCCACCGACTCAGAGACGATGAGAGCCGAACTCCTAGCTGAATTCGCTGACGTCTTTGATGACTCTGTGTTGAAGCCAATGCTTGGTGGACCTATGGAAATTTGAGTGCGAGCTGATGCTAAGCCTGTCGCTGCATATCATGCCCGCCAGATCCCGCATGCGTACCGTGACCAAGTGAAGTCCCAGCTGGATGACATGGTCCGGGATGCCATCATCGAGGAGGTCACCGAACCCAGTGCGTGGTGTCACCCAATTGTCATCGTGGACAAGAAGGGGACAAACGAGAAGAGGCTCACCGTTGATTTCAAAAAGCTCAACGACCAAGTCGAACGCCCTGCTCACCCCGCACCAAGCCCTCGTGACGCTGTATCCAGCGTTGGCAACGCAAGATATTTCACCAAGCTAGACGCCCGCCACTGCTATTGGCAAGTTCCTCTGAGCGAGGCCTCCCGTCCGTTGACCACGTTCATGACACCTTGGGGTCGGTACAGGTACCTACGCAACCCACAAGGATTGGTCTCTGCTGGAGACGAGTTTAATCGCCGCACCCACGCCGCGTTCGCTCATATCTCCCAGTTCCAGAAGGTCGTTGATGACTGCATCGTCTACGATAATGACCTGAACACCCACCGATCTCACGTCCGGGATGTCCTGCTCTGCGCCCGGGAGAATGGCATTACTCTGAGCGCCAAGAAGTTTGTGTTCGGCATGCCAGCCGTGGAGTTCTGTGGTTACCGCAACAGTGCTGACGGCTGGACCGTCGATGATGCCAAGGTCAAAGCTATCAGCCAGTTTCCAGCTCCCAGCAACCGCACTGATCTCCGATCGTTTATGGGTCTTATCAACCAGTGTGGTGAGTTCACCCCGCACCTGTCTGAGCACGCCGCCCCGTTGCGCCCATTGCTCAAGACGTCCAACGAGTTTGTATGGGACTCAGTTCACACAGACGCAGTCAACGCTGCCAAGGCTGAGCTGTTGTCACCATCAACGCTGTCATTCTTCCAACGTGACCAGCCACTCCGCCTAGAGACCGATGCATCTGCTTTGCATGGCCTTGGCTACGTTCTGTGGCAGTTTCAAGATGGCAAGTGGCGCATTCTCCAGTGTGGCAGTCGATTTCTGTCGGATCCAGAATCCCGGTATGCTGTCATCGAACTGGAGCTCCTAGCTGTCGTCTGGGCGGTGAAGAAATGTTCTCTCTACCTCGCCGGTACATTGTTTGAGCTTGTCACCGACCACCGGCCCCTCACACCAATCATCAACTCGTACTCGCTCGATCAGATTGAGAATCCCCGGCTCCAATGCCTGGTCATGAAGCTTCGTCCATACCAGCTGCATGCCACTTGGCGTAAGGGTACTGACAACGCTTTCGCCGACGCGGTGTCCCGCAATCCAGTGGATGATCCCACCCCTGACGATGAGCTCGGTGAACACCCAGCCCTTCGTACTCCTGCCATACGCGCTTGCATTCGGAAAGACACCGAAGGCCAGATTGCCAATCTCCGGTTTGCCGAATTGCAAGAAGCCGCTCGAGCTGACTCGGATTATCAGGCACTCCTCACCACCGTCCGGAACGGATTTCCCGACGACCAACGCGACTTACGCCCTGCTGCCCAGCCGTATTGGACAGTCCGTCATCATCTTACAGTCGACCAGGACCTGGTACTAAAAGGTCCTCGCATTGTGGTCCCGCGTTCCCTCAGGCGTAGTGTGCTTGACGACTTGCATGCTGCTCATCAAGGTCTCAACCGTACCAAGGCTCGTGCTCGCCAGGTGGTGTATTGGCCCCAGCTGTCCAACGACATTGACAATATCGTTCGCAGCTGCGCTGAATGCCGTCACCACGCACCTTCCCAAGTAAAGGAACCGCTGCTGGCAACTGAGGATCGTTGTCCTGCCCTCCCGTTTGAGAGCACCAGCGCGGATCTGTTCGAATGCCAAGGCTACCAGTTCCTGGTATACGTGGACCGCAGGACCGGCTGGCCCTGTGTTGCCAAGATAGGACGCACCGCCACCTCCGCTGACGTAGTCCGTGCGTTCCGAGGCTGGTTCGCGGATCTCGGTGTCCCAGCTGTCCTGACGACTGATGGTGGTCCGCAGTTTACAGCGCAGCGTTTCTCCGCCTTCTGTCAGCGTTGGCAAGTCCGCCACGTCAGATCCAGTCCGCATTACCCACAATCGAATGGCCATGCGGAGGCGGCTGTCAAGGCCATCAAATCTCTCGTGTACAAGACCACCACCAACGGAGACATTAATGTCGACGCCTTCTGTCGTGGCTTATTGGAATGGCGTAACACTCCCCGTAGCTCCGGTCAGAGCCCAGCGCAGGCCCTGTTTGGCTGCCCCCTGTCGTCATTCGTGCTTGCCCACCGGACCAGTTTTGCCCCAGCGTGGCAAGAAACCGCTGACGAAATC